AAATTTATATTTTTCATTATAATTTATTATTTATTATTTAATCTACTGCAAATTTTTTAATATTAAGATTAATTTCCAATTCATTTTTGGCAATTTTTCTTCATTTGTAAGGAAAAGAATTATTAATTTTTTGATTCCATTTAGAGATTCGAAAATGATAATTAACAAGGGTAGATTATTCATATTATGTTTGTAAATTGTTTAATGTAACTTCCAGTTGATATTTTGCAATTTTTCCTTATTTGTAAGGAAAAAAATTTCAAATATTTATAATCTTTTTATTTAAGTCGAAAATTTGGTAATTAGAAAATGGAAAATTGTACTTGTTAAGGGTAGATTATTTGAACTACTTTTTCAAATTATTTTATATTCTTCTCCGTTAACCTTTTTATCGAAGAAAAGATTTTTTGTTCAGTTCGAACACTAAGAAATGGTAACTGTTAGAGATAAATCATTAAAACTATTTTTATATATTTTATTTTACTGCAAAAAGAGGTATAAATAAAGCAAATCCATCATAGTTACTTTAGAGAAAAACAAGGTTCCATTTTTAAAACGCATTGTCTCTTTCGATGAAAAGGATGTTATATGACAATCGAAAACGTTCAGAACAATAGCTTTGGAAAGATGAACGTGCAAAATACATGCCAGAACCACTGCTTCATCCGAAGAAGATAATAGCGATTGTTTGGTAGTCATCTGCAGGACTTACTATTTCCAATTTTCTACAACCTGGAACTACAATTATAGTAGACATGCATTGTAAACAATTGTCTGCAATGTAGAAATAGTAAAAGTTGGAAAATAAATGGAGAGCAATTTTGTTGCACAATATTGAATTTATTTTTTCATTTTTAGTCATTATTTTGAAAATGGCCAATAGAAAATTTCGAAAACCAATCATCTAACTAATAAATTATTTAGAAATATAGCAGCAATGTAACAAATTACAAAAAGCAATTGAAAGAACAAATATAACAGCAAATTTAATAAATAATAAATAAAATCAAAAAATAATACAATATAATCTGCAATTGTAATTGTAATCTGTATTGTAAATAATACAATAAAAATTATTTGATTAAAAAATTACAGAAACAGAATTTTAATAATTTTTAAACTCTCTAACCAACAATTTTTGTAAATCTTGTACCAATTAAGCAAATTAATAGGGGCTAATTAATATTAATAGAAAGGCTCCTTAATATTGTAAAAATTTGAATTAATGTTAATTCATCATTCATGTTAATTTGTCTTAATATGGTAGGAAAATACTGCTTCATAGGCACTGATCTAATGTGAACACCTAAATATAAGCAACTAACTGAATTATGGCAAAATTTAGGATCATTGTTCTCCTAACTAAAAATCTTTTTGGAAATTCAATGACTATTAATTCCAAATTTTATCTAGTAATATACGTAACTACAGACACATTGATTCTACTCCTGAACCGAGCTATTAAAAGTCCTTTATGCAAATCCTTCGCACTCCAAGCAAGTATCCCTCCAGGCGCTGTCAAGCGTGCTACCCCAAGTATGCCCCTCAGGCACCACGTTAGTATGCCAATATTATTTACAAGTCCTCGTACACTAGTTAAGAAATAAAACATCTTCATAATTTATTGAGTTAAAGCGAAAGTGCAGGTAAAAGCTACGTGTCATATAATGAATTCGTCAAACCTTAATGTCCCTAGGTTCTCCAGATGGATTTCTTTAGAAAATTAATAGTTGCTGCTAATAATATCTAATAACACGAGAGGAACGTGTTAATGAATTATGTTAACGAGTAATAATGAATATCTTAATAAATAGTAATGAATTGGCATAATAAAACAGGTCCCTTGAAAAAGGAGGAAAAATATTTTGGTGGTTGGTTGGTCAGGCTGAATAAACATTCATTCGGGTCCTAACCCAAAGTTAGGTTATCCCATTTCCTCTAAAATAAACTCTAGCTTCGAATCGTCATCTAAATCCTAGCCCGAAGTTATCCTACGTCGTCTAAAACAAACTCCAACCTCAAATCTTTGTCCAAGTCCTGACCCAAACCTAAGTCAAATAAAGATTATCCCACTTTCTCTGGAATAGGATATAACCTCAAATCTTCATCCAGGTCCTGAACCAAACCGACTTTGAATCAAAATTATCCCAATTTCTCTGAAACAAACTTTAATATTACACTTTCATTCAGATTCTGGCATAAATCTAACCCAAATAAAAGTTATCTCAATTTCTCTGAAACAAATTCTAACCTCAAACCTTCAGTCAGGTTCTGAGTCAAACCTAGACCAAACAAAAATTATCTCACTTCTCTAAAATAGCTTGCAATCTCAAATCCTTGTCCAGGTTCTGACCCAAAACCTAATCCAAATCAAAATTATTTTGATTTTCAGCACCACCCACTTTCTGTAAAACAAACCCTAATCTTACACCTTCATCTAGATTCTAACATAAATCTAATCCAAATCAAAATTATCTCACTTACTCTAAAACAAACTCTAATCTTGCACTTTCATCCAAGTCCTGGTCCAAACCTAACCTAAATCTAAACCAAATCAAAATTATTCCACTTCCTATAAAACAAACTCCAATCTTGTACCTTCATCCAGGTTCTGGTCCAAGCCTAACCTAAACCTCACCCAAACCAAAGTTATCCCATTTTTTCTAAAACAAACTCTAATATTACACTTTCATTCAGATTCTGACATAAATCTAATCCAAACTAAAGTTATCCCAATTTCTCTGAAACAAACCCTAACCTCAAATCTTCAGTCAAATCCTGAGCCAAACCTAGGTCAAACAAAAATTATCCCACTTCCCTAAAATAGCTTGCAATCTCAAATCCTTATCCTGGTTCTGATCCAAACCTGATCCAAATCAAAATTATCCCACTTTCTCTAAAACAAACCCTAATTTTACACATTCATCTAGATTCTAACCTAAATCTAACCCAAACCGATGTAATCCCACTTTCACTAAAACAAACTCTAATCTTACATCTTCATCCAGGTCCTGGTCCAAACCTAACCTAAACCTAATCCAAATGTAAGTTATCCCACTTCTTCTAGAACAAACCTAACCTCAAACCTTTATCCAACAACATGCACGGAAGCAAACGCGATCCCAGTCATAAACTCGACGTACGAGTGAAGTGACCAAGCTCAATCTTTGTTACAGGTCTCTAGAAAGCGGTGAGTGATCTTTAGAGGAAAGGCAGAAGGCGTCCAGCGAGAAAATGCCGCTTCCAAAGCGACTGGTGGAGCCGGTGCTGGTCGCACGCGGCACCATCCCGGAAAACTTCCCTCTGCCCTCGGAACTAGAGGCTGTAACGAATGGCACGTTGGCCAACACGATCAGGCAACTGTCCAGTCTGTCCAGGCACGCGGAGGACCTGTTCGGCGAGCTGGCGAGGGAGGCTCACGGATTGAGCGACAGGGCCAACTCCTTGCAGGCTAGGATAGATCGACTGGCCGTGAAAGTTACTCAGCTCGACAGCAACGTCGAGGAAGGTTCGTTGATTAACTGATTAATTATGCAGCCTGTGATTAACCATTCGACACTGAGTCAGAGGTGACAGCGTGGGGATCCTGAACCTCGTGTCTGACCTCAGTTTAGGGTTAGGAGAAATTGTGGCGGAAATTTGGATGTGCTAGCTCATAAGTGTGGTAAAGGATCGGGATTTATAGAGATTTAACTTTAAACTTTGATTTTATTTTATTCTGTACAAATGCGCGGAGGCTTGAGTCTTGCGCGATGCGTAATGCAGACGGTGGATTGTCGAAAGAGCGTATGTACCCTCAAACCCTTCAGTCAGGTTCTTATAGGCTCTATGACGACCCATTGCGTCACTCAGTCCTGCTTCGAAAATTGATAATCTTGATGGTTCCTCGAAGCAAACATAGATCCCTATACAGGGTGACGCCATCCAAATAAAGACTCCTCTCACGTATTAATTTATAGATTTTATGTGGTCATAATTATTCCTATTAAAATTTATTTTTTGTAAAAATACGTAAGATTATGCGAGCTCCGGTTACCGATAAGGCGACATGAGTGAGGAGCACGTAGCAGTGATAACTGGAGTCTCAAATCGAAGCGGTGATCCGCTTGATTTTTGCGACGAATGAACAAAGGAGGCCCACCTTTAAAAGGGCAGCTCGAGGACCGAGCCGGAGAGTCTTACGCGAGAGAAGAGAGCGACGTGTACTGTATCGAGAAGAATTAACCCTTTGCCTTCGACCAGTTTTTCATGACAGAAAAATAGCAATTTGATTAAATATAGTAATAATTATTTCGAAAAATTGAATTAAAAATTTCTGCACTTTTAGTCTATATTGTTATTATTCGTGTTAAAAAGATAGTTATTTAGGGATTAATGTGCTGCTTAATGCTTGGAAACACAGGTATCCTCTGCCATTCAAGACTTCATGAGTTCATACAAAATTCTGATTACGTTCCATGTTGTTAACTCCAGTACAGCGTTATTCGAGGGCTGCGCAGTTTTCCACCGTGGTTTTTAATTGAGGATCTCGGTGGAAAAGTGGCACAAGTACGCTTTTTCCTTTTTTACCCAGGAACTAGACTAGTAGCGAAAACGATACGCGAGATCTGCATTTACTTAGATGACTCTGTTACTAATTTCTAAGCAACTGTACATGAGCCACTCACAGGCTAAATTGGTTAACTCAATTTTTTTGGATTTTTAGAAATTTCAGTACCAAAATGGTACTTGATATTTATTTTTAAACGGTTCTTAATATATTATATTAAAAATCAATGTTTACTTCTTGTTTTGAAGAATTTATCAATTTGTATTTTATATTTATATAATGATATTATATAGTAATGTGTTTTAATTTTTAGAAGGCATACTGATTTTTTGATTATAGTTGAAGTTTTTCCACAGTTTAAAAAATATTAAATATTTCTTCTAAGTTCTCTGTTTATTTCTATAATTGCTATAATCAATTACAATTTTTATATTTTTCAGTTGTATTTTTATTCTTTTAAGAAAATCTTTTGTTTATTCAAGGTACTATATACTATATAATATTTTAATAGTTTAAGGAAAAAATTAATTACAGATTGTGACATAATTAATTTCATTATTCTGAGTTATTTAATGAAGATTAAGTTATAAGGCTACTCTCAGTATTCATAACGATTAAAATAACAATGAATAAATTGTTAAAAAGCTTCAAGGTCAAGAGCATTAAGATATAACAATAATGGTACTTTTAAACTGAGAAAAGTTAATTTCTTTTCTACCTTAATTGCTATTAATTAATATTTTTCAATTAACCATTATATTTTTTATATTACAGTCTCGTTGCAAGATATACACATGAGGAAAGCGTTCAAAAGCTCTGTGGTGTTTGATCAGCAAGTGGTATCTAGAGACACCATGCCGACGGCGATGCTGGAAACTTATCATCAATGTGATACACCACCACCTCTCGATAAACTTAATGTTTATAGGTATTTTATTTATTTATTTATTTTTTAACATGTCGATTCGCAGCCATAATTAAAAATTTCATATAATTTGATGTGTTTTGAAATAAATTTTATTAAGTATAATTTTTGGTATTATTCGTGATTGAAATTATGCTTAAACTTATTGTTGAGAAAAATTAAATGCTGTAGAAAAAACTATATTTTATATAGTTATTGTGGAAAATTATTTTTGTCACTTCTGCAAAAGATAGCTTGTTATATTGTTTATTTCATACAGTAAAAATAATCTTTTAATAGTACTCTAAAAAAGAAAAAATGAAAAATTCCTGGAGACGTTTATAAAGAATAATAATAATATTTGTTTAGAAAATATTTATTAAATAACAGAAATACCTAATTCAATTACCTATTGGTAAAAATTTACATGAAACCAGATTGCAATTTTTTCAATATTTATAAAACTCATTAAATTTTATTCTTCAGTTTGCATTTTTATTCTTATAACTTTTAAAATCCTTTATTATTTTATTTTCTTGGATGAGATTCTTAATGTGGTATACTTTAAAAATTATTGCAATTCACATTACCATACTTGAGAACCACCATAACCTCTACCAAAGAAAAGATCGAAACATAACCTATGTCAACAAACAAACTAGAACATAACCTCGCTCCGTAGAAGCTAATAAAACGCAACGTGAATTTCAGGGAGGACGGCAAGGATGGGCTGAAATTCTACACGGATCCGAATTACTTCTTTGACCTGTGGAGTCAAGAGATGCTGAAGGACACGGAAAAGAAGTTGCACGATCGGGGGAAAAAAGTAAAGAAACTTGTCTCGCACCTGTATCCTCTGAACGTGCACCTCGACTTTCTTCTTTATTTTTCTTTTTTTTCTCTCTTCTTAGAAATAGAGGTTAAGGCTATTCTTGTATTGCGTTATTCTTTTTGTATCAATTCAAAGTGTAAGCAAGACATGTTACATACACGATTAGCTAAGACACGTCTCGAGGTGCGCTGTAACACGATATGTTAGTTATTTTCTATTTTTACTGTACTTATATACATGCGATTCTAACGATTGAAAATGTCCCCTTCGTTATAGACCGAGTCTGAATATGCCGAACCGTTCAGAGAGGCAAGTCGATGGTTTGGATCTTTGTAGTTTTTTTTATTACCCTTTACCCAGTTTTAATGAATTATCGATCGCCAACCACTCACTCATACATAATCAAGCTCACTTCTTTGTGGTTTTTCATTAACCGACCTTTTTGCGCTGATAGAGATTGCGCTGATAGTTGCTCGCTTTGGAAATTTTGTAGTATACATTGCTAGGACTAGCCAACGACATCAAACCAACACATTCGTCAATGTTCGTCCTTGGCAAAAGATCATGTTGCGTAGACCGAATGTTGCATTTGTATTTCTTGTTTTTGTATATTCCTTTTTTTTCCTCTCCTTAAATATTGATAAGAACGTTTATTTACATGTACTTTGATATATTACAGGTGTCGTTTGTTTTTGCGAGTTTATTGATTTGAAAACGATGTTCGATCTACGCAGGAAAAGTCCCTAACCGACACCTCTGTTTTTGTAAAACAAGTTGTTTTTCAAAGTCGAATAGTTTGTCTCTCACTACCATGTCACTTTATCGATCACTCTGTAATGCCGTTCTGTGCCAGCCATGCAACTTTTGGATGTACTCAATAGAAGTCTCTCATCATCATTCATCGAGCCATCTTGCAATATCGATACACGGAGTCTCACGATCTCTGATCATTTCAGGATTATTTTATTTTCGATTTGTCACGTTTCATGTTGTGGGAAATGAAATTATAACGTGTAAAAGGAGTACTCCTCAAACCCCATATTTTTCTGATAAACAATATGAATAACAAGTTTGAGGTGATATCAGAACAAAATAGAGTATTTGTATAAAATTTAGAGAAACTTGAGAATAATTATTCCATTGCAATATGGAATAAAGATTCAAAAAATAATTTTACTTCCTACAAATCCCTTCATGTTCAGTGGTTGATCCCGTTTTTCTAAGAATTGTATGTATTTTAAACAACTGCAGCAAAATTGAAAGTATGTATACAGATGGAATGTGTGTATGATAGCTTAAAGGTAGAATAAAATAAATACTGGATCAACCATCGATTCATATTTGATTGATAAAATTAAGCTTGTCTTGCATTTTTACTAGTACTCTGGTTTGAGGCAGCCTTTTAATAAAGAATTTTTATCGTACAGCCACATAGGCCTCGGAACGAGAGTGGTGGTGGTGGCGGTGGCAGACATAAGAAGCGTATAAGGCAACCGCATAATACGAGAGAAAGGCAAAAACAGTTGGCCGTTGGTCACGGCGAGTACATTATGCCAACGCAAGGTGTTCAATACAGAGCACCTCACAATATACCAGATGAGTCGTTATTGGGTATGGTGATGACCGAACCACGACCACCTAGGCCGAACAGCATTGAGCTTAGACGAAGCTACCCTCCGGAGGAACAACATCTCTACAGTCCTCCTTCTTCCGAT